GGCTTTGTTCTCTTTTCTTGTTTTTCCTTGTTTTTTTAATGATTACCGCATACTTGCCTATAACATGTGTTTGAGTATAATATGGAGATGGGGGTGAATGTATAATATCACTTCAGAATTTGTCCATTTTTGTAGATGGTGCGTAAATTAAGGGGTGAATTAGAAAAGAAAACACTTCAATATCTTCCCCAAAATCAAAGAAGTAAGAGGGAAGCGATTTGAAGATGAGGAAGAAATTGTGCTTGAAATCAATGCAGCACTAAAGCCGAAGCGCACGTGGTCACGACATTGAAGTCCTGGCTATACAAGATACGAAAAGTGCACTGAGATCAATGGTTGTGATGTTGAAGAGAAAACATGTTTCTTTGGGTATAGATACAAAATTGAATGTCTAAAGTTTTGAAAATGTTGATTTTACTGAACAGGGAAACTTACTCTCTGAGACCTCCTACAGATACTGTTGTAAGTTAAGGGTAGTGGTGTAAGGTTTTTCTAAAAATACATTGATCCTCTTTTTCTGCTTCAATTGTTGGCAATGGTTATAGGGTTTGAAATAGTCTGAAAACATTGTTGTTTTGAGTGTGCGCTTGTTCAAGTCTGCGGAGATGGTCATTTCTTTGATGGTCCCTATTTTATCCACCTCTGTTTGGTGGCCGCAGATTCCAAAAGGAAAGAGGGACAGAGCGGGATTATCTCTTGTTTTGCCGTCAGTCCGGACAATAACGGCTTGTACGTTGCTGGTTCCTACAGCAGACACAGTAAGTTCCTCGTTTCATTGTGTGTTCGTTCTAGACAGTGTGAGCCTGTCGCTTGTGTGTGTAGACTACACATTGTCATTTGTACCGTCCTCCATTGAGCTTGTGTGTGTAGACTACACATTGTCATTTGTCCCGTCCTCCATTGAGCTTGTGTGTGCAGACTACACATTGTCATTTGTACCGTCCTCCATTGAGCTTGTGTGGTTTTGATCATGTTGTGAAATCAGCATTTCTATGACCTTTAAAGAATGTGCTATCAGAATACCATCATATTACCATCAGAATACCATCATATTACCATCAGAATACCATCATATTACTGTCAAAATACCATCAGAATACCATCATATTACCATCATATTACTATCAGAATACCATCATATTACCATCATATTACTATCAGAATACCATCATATTACCATCATATTACTATCAGAATATCATCATATTACCATCGTATTACTATCAGAATATCATCATATTACCATCGTATTACCATCAGAATACTATCATATTACCATCATATTACTATCAGAATACCATCATATTACTATCAGAATACCATCATATTACTATCAGAATACCATCATATTACTATCATATTACTATCAGAATATCATCATATTACTCTCAGAATACCATCATATTACTATCAGAGTACTGGTTATGTATCTGGTTCAAATATTTTGTTAACAACAGTTGTACATTTCTATTGGATGCGTGTGACATGTGACTGTGGGTCTATTTGTTAGTGAAAGTGTCTATATTATGTGCATATATATGTGTGGAGGAGATGATGTGTGATAGAGAATGTGTGTGTTGGTGTGCGTACGCGTATTTTATTTGTGTGTGCGTGCGTACATGCGTACATGTATGCATACTTGCATGTGTACATGTGGACAATAAAGATATATCTCTGCAGTATACTTGTATACGTATAAGTGACCGTACGTGTATGCTTATTTGAATTCTGTGTGTATACGTGCATGCGTGTGTACGTGTGGACAGTAAACATGTACCTCTGCAGTGTACTTGTATACTTACAGCTGATCATCAGTTTGCGTGCGTGGACAGACTTTTGTGGATCAGAGGAGCAGAACTGACGGGGTTTTTTTCTGTCTTTTTTGTCCTCCAAAGTTGGGATCTACGACACGAGCTGCGACAGGCTCGTCTGTCTCATGCAAGGTCAGCGTGGGGGGATCACCCACGTCATGTTCTCGCCCGACGGGACCAAACTTTACAGCGGTGGGCGCAAGGTAATGTCTGCTTCACCTGAAACAGATGCAACTACAGTATAACACGGAGAGGTCGAACACAGAAGACTGTACATCATGTATTCGTCAAACTGTGCCTGGGGTCCCGTTTTTTCTTCTTTTTCTTTGTAAGATATCCCTCGAACTACAGAGGCCGGTCTCAACCAATTCTTCGCTGTCTTGTTTTTTTACTGTGTTTTCTGAAAGGTACTATAAAATTTGAGGTGCCTTCTATTATTCAGTTGGTATCATGCTGGATTACAGAGTGGATGGCTCTGGTTCAAATCCCAGACTGCATTCTTGATCATCTTATGAGAAGAACATTGTGAATGAACATAATGGGTATTACTATAGATTGTAACGTGCATAGATCTTGGTCAATTGGGAAATGCATTGTACAAATGCTATAATTATTACTGTTTTAGCTATTTTTGTTGCACATTAGAAGATAAGATAAATATGGTAAGATAAACTTTATTCACCCAGTTAAACTTTGCATTTAAACCCTGAGAAGCTTATCTGGAAATCCTGACCGCATGGGTGACAGGGAGACATCAGGATGATATAGGCTTTTTTGAGAGCATCCGGATGGAGAAATTAATGGAGAACCATATTGACACATGTCTGTTCAGATATAAACCATATTGACACATGTCTGTTCAGATATAAACCATATTGACACATGTCTGTTCAGATATAAACCATATTGACACATGTCTGTTCAGATATAGCAGGAGAACCATATTGACACATGTCTGTTTACATATAAACAGATATAGCAGGTCATGACGAGGGTGATGAGTTGTTCCTGAGGAAGCCTACATGGCGAAATGTAGAGCCGGTTTGATAAAGAGGAATTTTAACTATTTTTATTTATATTTTTGTCTGAAAATCAATCAAGACTCCCTATATACTCTACTTTTTAAACAACAATGATGATCTTCATCTCATATCTCGTTCATCTTTAAATGGACATCCCAGTCTGTAGTGCGAAAACTTATGTTTACCACAGGTCCTCCAGGCCACGTAGAGTTTCGGGTAAATGATGATGATGATGATGATGGTGATGGTGGTGGTGGTGATGATGATGATGGTGATGATGGTGATGGTGATGATGATGATGATGCACTTCTCTTTCCTCCGACAAACTCCTGAGGTGTAGATATATCGTCGTCCAAATCACATACTAGCGTAAGCGACATTTTGCTGATTATTCAGGAAAGCAGTTTGAAATTATTTGGTGACTGCAAGACGATGGACACACTAGTTTGAAGAACGGGAATAACTTTGTGACGGCTAATGGTATTGATCAATTGATACCAGAAGTCTAGAGATGATAATAGGGCTAATGGTATTGATCAATTGATACCAGAAGTCTAGAGATGACAATAGGGCTAATGGTATTGATCAATTGATACCAGAAGTCTAGAGATGACAATAGGGCTAATGGTATTGATCAATTGATACCAGAAGTCTAGAGATGACAATAGGGCTAATGGTATTGATCAGTTGATACCAGAAGTCTAGAGATGACAATAGGGCTAATGGTATTGATCAATTGATACCAGAAGTCTAGAGATGATAATAGGGCTAATGGTATTGATCAATTGATACCAGAAGTCTAGAGATGATAATAGGGCTAATGGTATTGATCAATTGATACCAGAAGTCTAGAGATGACAATAGGGCTAATGGTATTGATCAATTGATACCAGAAGTCTAGAGATGACAATAGGGCTAATGGTATTGATCAATTGATACCAGAAGTCTAGAGATGACAATAGGGCTAATGGTATTGATCAATTGATACCAGAAGTCTAGAGATGATAATAGGGCTAATGGTATTGATCAATTGATACCAGAAGTCTAGAGATGATAATACGAAGTACTTGCTTAGTGGTTCTAACTCGATTTTGCCCAAAATGTCTCTTCTGCTCGTACGTGTTATCTTCTGCTCGTACGTGTTAGTTATCTTCTGCTGGTACGTGTTATCTTCTGCTCATGCGTGTTATCTTCTGCTGGTACGTGTTATCTTCTGCTCATGCGTGTTATCTTCTGCTGGTACGTGTTATCTTCTGCTCGTACGTGTTATCTTCTGCTCGTACGTGTTATCTTCTGCTGGTACGTGTTATCTTCTGCTCGTACGTGTTATCTTCTGCTCGTACGTGTTATCTTCTTCTGGTACGTGTTAGTTATCTTCTGCTGGTATGTGTTATCTTCTGCTGGTACGTGTTATCTTCTGCTCGTACGTGTTATCTTCTGCTCGTACATGTTATCTTCTGCTGGTACGTGTTAGTTATCTTCTGCTCGTACGTGTTATCTTCTGCTGGTACGTGTTATCTTCTGCTCGTACGTGTTATCTTCTGCTGGTACGTGTTATCTTCTGCTGGTACGTGTTATCTTCTGCTGGTACGTGTTATCTTCTGCTGGTACGTGTTATCTTCTGCTGGTACGTGTTATCTTCTGTTGGTACGTGTTATCTTCTGCTGGTACGTGTTATCTTCTGCTGGTACGTGTTATGGACGATGGTATCTGGGATTGTTTCCTCAGGACGCTGAGATCTTGTGCTGGGACATGAGAAACACAGGAAAGATTCTCTTCTCCGTTCTCCGAGATGTGAAGACTAACCAGCGGATGTACTTTGACCTGTCACAGTGAGTGGTTTAGTTCTTTGGCTCAAAAACTGTGGCATGTTGTATTTTCAAAAGAGAGAAGAACAAAAAGTTCATTTGTTGAACAAATGTACCTGTGCCCAAAAACGGACATGTTCGATCCCCAGTATAGTGTTGATAGGGGTGTTGTACCTAGACTATTACTTATGTCTAGGTAACTTCTTCGACTGTTCTTCGCCGAGAAAACAAACATTTTCATGAGAGAGAAAAAAAACTACTTCATTTATTTAACAAATGTACCTCTGCCCAAAAAACGGACATGTTATTCTGTATTATGTCACCAGTATAACGTTGATAGGGGAGTTATACCCATACAATTACTGACATCATTGGCAAGCTAGGAAACTGTTCTTCACCTTGAAAGAAGAAATGTTAAAGAGAGAGAGAAAAATGACTTCTTTCATTGAACAATTTACCTCTATAGTATGTATCTTTTCTTGCTTTGTAAACATTATTTACAATTGGAATTTCAAGAAAATATTTCTTGAGCTCTTGTTATCGACACCACAGATGAAGAAATGTAAATAAAGAAATGGTCAACGTTTTGGGGTGAAGTACAGCAGAGCAGTTGGCTGACGATCTACATCTCTTTAGAAGTGACCATTTTCTGGATAAATCTGGCTTTCTGAAATTGTCATTATTTGTCCTTTCCAACTCGCCCTAAAGGGTTGAGAGCCTTGAGGAAAAATCCACACAACGACCCAGAAACACCCAGTGTGGAATTCAAACCAGGGCCATATGCTCCATATATACACAATACCAACTGAGCTAACGGAGCAGCTCATGTCAACTACATAACTACGGCCACTCACAGAACCTTCCAGCTTTGGTTGAGTGACCTTCCAGCTTTGGTTGAGTGACCTTCCAGCTTTGGTTGAGTGACCTTCCAGCTTTGGTTGAGTGACCTTCCAGCTTTGGTTGAGTGCACTGAGCCTGTGCCACATCTGATCAACTGTGGGGGGGGTTTTCCCAGCTTAAGAAATAAATTGTCGATAGATAAGAAAAGGGGCTACGAGGTGAGATGGCAGGCTTTAAACTTTAAAGTACAGACTTAGAGATTTAATCTTAATGGTTGAGCCTCAGGAATTTTATATTTTCTCATTTTCTCTTTTGTAGACCAGAGTCTGGTATAGCGGTTAGGCATTTTGCTACCACCAGCAGGAAGCAGGAGGGGTCCCCTTTCCCTTGACGAGTGGGGAGACTATTGAACAAGTATCTCAGTCGTTCTGCTGAGATGTTGCGTCTCTCTCAGCTCAGGCTGGCCCTGACAGATGTTCTCAAAGCCAGCTTTCTTAATAATCTAAATTGTGTTGATGGGAGTGTAAAAACACCTTATCCTACTTTTAAACAATGAAAGGAGGACACACAGAGCTCTGAGACAGAACATGTGGCGAACCCCTCGAACACTACAGGAGAAGATAACAAAAACTGAGCAGGACGACCCAATAGGAAAGATGTCAGACTTCCAAGTGCTCTACTCTACAGGAGAAGCTACCTGGGCCAATAGAGGAACTGGGGAGGACAGCCCTGTAGAGTGTAGTGATAGATACCAGTCTCCAAGTGCTCTACTCTACAGGAGAAGCTACCTGGGCCAATAGAGGAACTGGGGAGGACAGCCCTGTAGAGTGTAGTGATAGATACCAGTCTCCAAGTGCTCTACTCTACAGGAGAAGCTACCTGGGCCAATAGAGGA